AATTTGCAAACAGCCCAAAGAAGAAAACATTTACATAAGCCTCACCATCCTAAGCAACCATCTGTAAATACTTTCTGTGCTCTCCCTCCCCCCCTTCTCTTTCTTCCCTCTAGGCATAGATATTGAAAGAGTTCATATCTGGTTGTTATCATATTGTGTGAATAATTGAGAAAATTGCCATTGGATGCCTGCATCTGGAGATAGAGTCACAAACAAAATCAAGACCTTGCTCTCCCTGCTCCTAGTGCATAAATCTGTTTGCCTTTCTTGAAACAAATTCCTAGGAAAGATGTTATGGGGTCAAAGGGTATATTTTAAAGGAGAGGTAAATTTAAGCTGCAAGGGTACAGAGAGAAAGCATTCTTTCTTTTTAACAGATAGGTTTTAATTTTTAAATGACAGTAATTGTTTATATTTATGGGGCACAGTGTGCTGTTTCAACACATGTGTACAATGTGTAATGATTGGATCAGGGTAATTGGTATATCCATCACGTCAAAGTTTCATCATTTCTTTGTGCTGGGAATATTTAAAATCCTCTAGTCTAGTTATTTTTAAATATATAATGCATGATTTTAAGCATATTTGCCTTATTGTGCTGTAGAACATTAGAAGTTATTCCTCCTATCAGCTGCACCACAGTATCCATTAACCACACTCCCTCCTGCCCATTCCCTTTCCCCCAGCCTCTGTAACCACTGTTCTACCCACTACTTCTGTGAGATCAAAGAGTTTCCTTTTGATTCACCTACCCTCCAGCTAGTTTGTCACTTCATTTGCTCATTTGTAGTTTTGGCAACCACCAGGCAGTGAACACCAAGCTTAGGCACTCATAGCCTAGAGCAGCTGCTGGGACATGGTTGGCTTGGCCAGAGAAGTCTGAGGCCTGCAGAATCAGGGACTGGAGTCAAGGCACCTTGGAAATCTGGCTTGCTCTAATGAGAGCCACACAGGAGCTGGGACCAGATGTCCAGAGACCCCTGGCTTGGCATTTGATTGGGAAATTTCAAATATCTGATCTTAGGAGCTCCTGTCTATAAAAAAACCCAGTGTCACTCCTTTCATTACTTTTTTTTTAATCACCAAATTAATCCCTTCAACTACTCTTCTCCCATATGCCTCGAATAGTGGGATTAATTCCTTCAACTCCCTTTTACCATGTGTCGCTCCCCCTCTTCGTGGAGGAACGACACCAAACCCTGCCTAGGCTTCATATCCGAGTCACGGCACCATTGTGTCGCTCCCCCTCTTCGTGGAGGAACGACACAGGACCCTGCGCTGTTCTTTCGTCTGCTCGGCCCTCCCCGGGTTTGCTGCTGGTTCTTCCCGGGTTGGCTACTATCCCTTCCACCTCCGTGGAAGGGCAGTTCCCCCTGGCCGCTTTCCCCACTTCCGCAGGGGAGCGGCACACCGCCGGCCGGCTTTCTCGGGGGCTGCACAGGTGTTCCTTCAGCTAGATGTTCCCCTTAGATGTTCCTGGTGCATGCCGTCTCTCTCCTCCTTTATAGTCCTCCTCTGCCAATCCCAACTCGGCTGCCCACACGCCGAGTACGCTGCTCTCCTCCAATCAGGAGCAAGTCCTACAGTTTATTGGCTGAACTGGAGGCAGCTGCGTAGAAGCTGTTTTCTCCTCTCCCAGCGCCATATTGTGGGAGAGCAGATGCATAGAATAAGTCCCAATTCCAGCAACTCAGTCCAGTCCGGTTTGCTCCCCACACCATGATCAATGGATGTGTGATTATTCTCTTTGTCTCTGACCTCACAGAACTTATGGAGTGGTGAGGAAGTTGTATGTGAAACAATCACAAACAGATAAATGTATTTCTCTAGGCTGTTATTTACAGTTCAGATGCTAGGGAAGAAAAGAAGAGATGCCATGAACATGTTAAATGAGGACGTTTCATGGAACCTGATTTGGAGTGAGCTAGAAAGGTTGCCTTCAGGACATTACCACTGAGATATATTGTGAAGAACAGGGAGGAATTCACAGGTTAATGTGGGGAGGAGGGTGTGTGCAGATGCATAGGCCAGGTCACAAGGATGAGCAGGTTGTGATCAATGCCAGTTACTCAGATGTGGTTAGCTTCATCAATAGGCAGACTGTGTGCCAGGAAATAGGGCTACCAATTTATCCTGGTTTTAGGATTGAAAAGCCTGTGTGCCTGTAACCCCAAAATCCCATATAAATTGGATAATTGGTTACTCTGAAGGTCTAAATTCTTTATCAATTAGTCTCTGACCATTGAGGTTGCATTGAGACCAGGAAAGGAATGAAAACATGGAAAACATGTTTTATTCTTTAAACATTTATTTATTTATTTATTTAAAATGCAGAGTGAAAGAGAGAGAAAGAGAAAGAGAAAGAGAGAGAGAGAGAGAGAGAGAGAGAACCTTCCATCCACTGATTCATTCCACAAATGCCTGCCATGGTCAGGAATGACCTAGGCAGAAGGCAGGAACCAGGACTTCATTTGGGTCTCTCCTGTGGATGGCAGGAACCCAAGTACTTGAGCCATCTTCTGCTGCCTCCCCAGACATATTAGCAGAAGATTGGATCAGAAGTGGAGGAGCTGGGACTTGACCTGGTATTTTGATACAGGATGCAGGCATCCCAAGAAGCAGCTTAATAGCTGTGGCACAATGCCTACATTGTAGAAGATGTTTTTAACACCCAGAGAAAAAAATTGGGAAGTAATTAACATGTGATTGGCCTATCTCATTATTTTACCTGAGACTATGTTACCTCTATAGTAATAACTCTTGTTCAGATAAGAAATTGCAGTGGTGGTAGGCCCATGGCTGTTGTGCTAATGCCATAAGGCAACAAAAGCCTTCATTCTCTGTTTTCAGTTATGGGAAATACCCCCTTTAAGTTGTAAGAAGCATGTCGCAGGATCTTCTTGCATTTTCAGGAACCTGTGGGCCTATCTTACATTAAGCCTCAAGAAGTAGAGCAGGAGGACCTGTATTTGTCCAGGATTCAATGCTATTTCCTGCAGATACATTCTTAAAGTGCTATTCAAGGAAAATTCAAGGAAAAATTACAATAGATAACATTTTACAATAGACAAAATTCAGGGAAAAATTACAACAGACAACATTTATTTAGCACTTCCTGTGTGACAAGTTCAACACTATTGCTTTAACTTGAATCATGTCATTTAATGCTCACAATAGCTTGGTGTGGTGAGTAATATTGTTCCATTTTGCATGTGAGGAATTAAGGCTGGAAAGCAGGACTAATGAGCTCAAGGTCTTAAATTGTTAAGTATTGCAGCTAGGAGTTGAATCCAGTCACAGTGGTGCTGGAACCAGCTACAGCTGGCACTTCAGTTTTATAGAGGGACCCCAACATACCTGAGAGGTCCGTAGGAAACACTGACTGCTAAAGACAATCCAGACTACAGGAACTTCTGAGCCCTTCACGTTACAAAGGCACTCTGATTTTCCCACCAGCCCTTCGCACAGGTGTGCCTTTTGTTTTATATAAAGTAGCCAGCTGCCTCGTTTCAGGGAAATCAATGCAAAGTTCTTTGGAAGAGGAGGTAAAGAGGGAAGGTCTTGGACAGGGGAAAAGGAGCCAGGACAGTTCCTACACTTGCAAGTGGGGCATCATTGACCCAAGATAAAGAGGGCAGAATAAGGCTGGCCCACAGCCACAGGATAGTGAGGATGTTTCCAGAGTGGGGGACTATGAGCTTGAGGAAGAGCATGGCAGGGGATGTGTCGTCAGTTATTTCATGCTACATTGTGGGTGCACTCAATCAGCACAGATCCCTGTCCTCCCTGGGGCTGGTTGGTGGATGAGGGAAAGGCCTCTGGTGAGCACTGTGTAGGTATTCACCTTGATTCTGAAATGTTGGTATCTGTAAACACAGTGAAGTGACTCAAATCCTGAGTTTTTAGGAGCTTGGGATGGTGAGGAAGGATGATTTCTTATGTAGAAAATCTGGAACCACTAGTTTTAATTTCCTTTAGGCATCTTAATTTTTGGAAACCTTGGAACTTTAACCTGTAAACATGGTCGGCCAGGTCCTCCTACCTAAGGAATTCTCTGGGGATTCACTGTCCAGGCTTGGCTTCAGTGTCACAGTAGAGTGCTCTGTTGCCTCTCCCCTCCTGAGCATTTGGTGGGTATTAACATTCGGCAATCTTGAGTGCTAGCCTAGCCAAATTTAATTCAGGAGATAAACTTAGAGAAAGAGATGTTGTTTTGTAATGAATTTTATAATATGGAGGTGTAATTGGAGACTAGCTACAGTAATAAATTATTCAGACCATTTCCATGGAAAATTGAGGGTAGAGTGTGTAGCTATTCAAAGAGTCATGATGGATAAATATTTGATTATCTTTCACTTTTAAAAAATGTATTTATTTGAAAAAGAGATCTTCCATCCTCTGGTTTACCCCCAAAATCGCTACCTGGAGCTCCATCTGGGTCTCTTACATGGGGCAGGGGCCCAAGGTTTTGGGCCATCTTCTGTTGCCTTTCCAGACACATTAGCAAGAAGTTGGATGGGAAGTACCAGCCAGGACTCGAACCTAGGCTCTGAGGTGAGATGTTGATGTCATAGGCAGCAGCTTAACCCATACGCTACACAATGCAGGTCCCTCTTCGGTTCTCTTTCTATGGCTAGTCTCTGTCTTCCATTCCGAACAAGATCTGCAAGTGAATGAATGCTCAACCTCTGTTCAGTTTATTCATGTGTAGACTGGGTATCATAGTACTATGTCTTCAGGTGAAGTAAATCTCCTTCTGCCTGTGGAGTTGAACTTATTTGTCCAAAATAAACTCTCAGAAGCACGATAAAAGACTGTGCTGTAGCTTTACAGATCCCAGGTCAGGAGGACTTCAGAGAATGTTTGATTACTGACAGGAGACCCCAAGAAGAGCCTCTCAAGTGCTCTCAAGGAAGAAATGCCTCATCACTTAGGGCGATGCCCCATTAGACCCTTTGCCCTTTGCTCCTATCATTAGTTTTTCTTTTCTTTTCTTTCAGAAGAAGCTGAGTGCAGTTTCTCACATTCCTCTGCGGTGCTGTGTACCTGCACGCGAGTGGGCAGGAAGGCATGAGAGGAAGGGGCAGGGTAAGTGGAAACAAATGCGAAGGGGACTGTTAGCCAGTGCCACGGGAGGAAACTCCAGCAGGCAGAGCAGTGGTGCGTCCAGGGACGGCAGAATCCTTGAGGATAAGCACATCAGCTCTGGCATCCGGATGAAGAATGGTCTGGATCTGCTTTTCTGTTTTTCATTCTTTTGGCATAAGTGTGTGAGTACTTTCATTCTTCATTAAGTCCTGAATTTCTACCTGTGGCCAGGGAGGTGCTGTGCTGTAGGCACTGCAGGGGGCCTTGTCTTTAGTATAGTTCAGGGTTTTATTTTCTCTTTCCAAAGAGTGCTGTGTGGTCTCGCAATAGAGTGAATAGTTCAACTAATAAATTCCGGAGACCTTGAGCACAGAGGTGAGGGCTGTGCTGCTCGCATGAGCCTCCAACTCTTGACCCGTTGAGCTCTTTGCCACACTGTAGCAGAGCCTTCTCATATTAGTACCAATTTATCATAATTCCATCTAAATGCCCCCCTCTTTTTTTTTGACTGAGAGAAAGAGACAGAAAACATCTGCATATCAAGTAATATTAGCTACAGTTGGTGTCTCAAGTGAGAATGAATCTGACAGCCCCATTTATTATATCTGGGTAGGCTTTATTACGGAGACTCTTGCATTTGAACTTTCCCTCAGCAAGATATGAAAGAGTCTCTGATGTATTCATATCTTGCCTTAAAAACAACATTTTGAAATACAGGGGAGATAGCAACTATAGATAAGATTTCGGTTTTAACAAGAGAGGCCAAGTGTTAGCCAGATTTAAAACAATAACAGTAATAAAGACACTTAGAAGTGTTATTAGTTATTATGCCTTCAGGTTCACATTATTGGCTCTGCTCTTTTGTTCCCTGGCTGTGTTGTCAGCACATGTGATTGTTTTTGATTCCTCCTGTCTAGTTCATCACCCTTCTCAATACATTAGGCTACTAATTCAGGTCTTTTTAAGAGCAATGTCACGATCCATTTCCCTTTGGGTAGGGCTGGCCATTGATGTTGAAACGTGCCATTGTTAAAGCAAACCAAATTACCATCACCACCACGAAAACCCCAAACAGACTCCTTTCCATCTATTTGGAAATCAGCCATCTGAGGCTTAGCGAGGTACACTAGGGTAGTTATGGCACTCGTTCAAAGAATGGGCTTATCACTTAACTTAGTTCATTTTACATTAATTAGGACTTGAATTGTTACAAGTCAGAGGTGCCCATGTTGGTGGATGTGTTACATGTGTTTCTTGGATGGCAGTGATATGTAGTCACGATCGTTTCTACATCCCTCCTTGATAAAGAACAAGCACGGATCTGTTTCTCTCTAACCCCACCGAGTCAGATGGCTCTGGAGCTGTTCTCAGTAGCCATGGACCCTGGGACACAATTGCTTCACAGAGGCCCGACTGACAACCAAGCAAACTGCACACTAGGCACTTTCTCCTCGCCTTCCCTCATCACTTGTATTATTTCTTAAATGAGTCTCAGTACTCAACACCAGGAAACAGGAAATAAAACAGGATTCCCATTCAGTGGACTGGTGGTCAGTGTGCAATTGTTTATGCAAATCTGAGAAAGTCCATTATGTTTATTTTTTTATGTCAATGTGTCTTAACATTCCCCATGTGAGCAATTTTTTAACAAACTATTTGCATGCTATAGGCTTGATTTTTAAAGCACTCTAGAGCTGCAGTCCTCATATTTCTATGTCAATTAAAATAAAAATGTGTAGAGAACATTTATAAGCATGCCTAATACTCATAGGCCTTGTCACTGCAAACTAGATGGTGGGTTTTTTCTTCCTCTGTTGTAAGTCTCTGCCAGATTTCTCTGTGTCCTCTGTCACCTTCCCTTACTCCCCTGGATTTAAATATTCTTGACCACCAAGATTTATTGTTTTGTTTATGCTCTTTTTGGGCCTGTAGCACCTACTTTTCCCAATGAATGACCTTCCTTGACTTGTTATTTCCAGACCCTTCTCTTTTTGTTTTATTCATTTTTTTCCGTTAAAACATACCAACCCTACACACACACTTCTGAATGCCTCTTAGCCTAGCCAAGAGATGTAACACATGTGAAAGCTAATGGAAGAATGTTATAAATGTGGAAAAAAAGCAAAGCCAAGTGCCTTGAGAGTGAGAAGGTAGAAAGATATCCATTGAATAGGGAAAGATGTAGAAAATATAACATTTTATTCTTCCTATAAAAATAACATGGGTTCAGAGTGACATCAGTAGGATGGCAGACTAGGAAGATCAAGGCCCATGTTCTCCCACAGAAACACAAGTTAACAATCATATATGGACCAGGATACTTTTCTGGGAACTCTGGAGACCAGTTGAGAAGTCTTAGCACCCAGGTGAATATAAAACCAAGAAAGCATTTCAGGTAAAGGGATAGGAAATTTACAACATTTTGCATCCCTCCTTTATCTGACCCAGAAAACACAACTAAGTTTATTGCAGCTCAATTCACAATAGCTAAGACCTGGAATCAACCTAAATGGCCATCAACAGCAGACTGGATAAAGAAATTATGGGACATGTACTATATAGAATGCTATATAGCAGTAAAAAAAAACAATGAAATCCAGTCATTTGCAACAAAATGGAGGCATCTGGAACACATCATGCTGAGTGAAATAAGCCAGTCCCAGAGGGACAAATACCATATGTTCTCCCTGATCGGTGACAACTAACAGAGCACCAAAAAGAAAATCTGTTGAAGTGAAATGGACGCTATGAGAAACAGTGACTTGATTGGCCCTTGTCCTGACTGTTGATGTACAACTTAATACTTTGTCCCTTTTAGTATTTTTTTTTTGTTCTACTTAATACTATTGGTTGAACTCTGTAATTAACACACAATTATTCTTAGGTGTTTAAATTTAACTGAAAAGTGATCTCTGTTAAATATAAGAGTGGGAATAAGAGAGGGAGGAGATGTACAATTTGGGACATGCTCAAGCTGACTTGCCCCAAATGTTGGAGTTAGAAATGTGCCAGGGGATTCCAATTCACCCATCAAGGTGGCATGTACCAATGCCATCTCACTAGTCCAAGTGATCAATTTCAGTTCACAATTGATCATAATGATAGGATTAAGAGTCAAAGGGATCACATAAATAAGACCAGTGTCTGCTAATACTAACTGATAGAATAAAAAAGGGAGAGAATGATCCAACATGGGAAGCGGGATACACAGCAGACCCATAGAATGGCAGATGTCCTAAATAGCACTCTGGCCTCAGAATCAGCCCTTAAGGCATTCAGATCTGGCTGACGAGCCCATGAGAGTATTTTAGGCATGGAAAGCCAAGACACTCTGGCAAAAAATAAAATAAAATAAGAGGACCTAAATGAAAAATTGCTGTGAGTGAGATCCCAGTAGAAAGAACAGTCCATCAAAGAAGGAGGTACCTTTCTCTGAAGGGAGGAGTGAATTTCCACTTTGACTATGACCTTGTCTAAATAAGATCAGTCAGTGAACTCAAAAGGCTTCCATAACCTTGGGAACTCATGACAAGAGCCTAGGGTGATTACTGACGCCATAAACAAGAGTGTCAATTGTTAAGTCAACAACAGGAGTCACTGTGCACTTACTCCTCATGTAGGATCTCTGTCCTCAATGTGTTGTCCAATGTGAATTAATGCTATAACTAGTACTCAAACAGTATTTTACACTTTATGTTCTGTGTGGGTGCAAACTGTTGAAATCTTTACTGAATATATACTAAATTGATCTTCTGTATATAAAGATAATTGAAAATGAATCTTGATGTGAATATAATGGGAGAGGAAGTGGGAGATGGGAGGGTTGTGGGTGGGAGGGAAGTTATGGGGGAGAAAAAGCCATTGTAATCCATAAGCTGTACTTTGGAAATTTATATTTACTAAATAAAAGTTAAAAAAAATTTGAAAGTACTCAAAAATTAAATAACTAGGGTTTCTACAACTCAGATGTTAACATTTTGGCAAATGCACTCCTGGTTATTTTTCTTCTTTTGTCAATTTTCAAAGAAGTTGTAGAAATTTCATTTAAAAATTGATAACAGCTTATGTGTCTAAAATTTGACAAATTAATTCACTTTTGTAAGAGCAGAAGCTCTTTTGCAGAAGATAAACCAAAGTGTCTTATGAGGTTTTTGTTTATGAAGCATCACCTTATGATTTTTTGGAAAACTACAGTGCTTATTTAAATTCAAATACTTCTGGATGAAATATTAACTGTAATAGGTTTGTGCAGTGTAGAGTTTAAAGAATTGATTATTTTGTGAGTTAGCAAGGATGAATTAGGTTGTGCTGTAGTAACTAACACCCAAATGTTGGTACTTGCAGATGAAAAAGATTTATTTTTGGTGTTTACTGCATAGGCAATGAAGGTTGGCTAGTGTCTGTTTCACACAGTCACTTAGGAACCCAGTCTGTCAGAGGCACCACTATGTAGGAAATTGGTGGCTCCAGTGTTCAGAAAGGCAAGAGAACTAGATGTTGGTGAGCACTGGTAATATCTACCATTTTTTTGTTTAGAAAGAGAATATAGAGAACTGTATTGAAAAAACTTTTTTAAAGATTATTTATTGATTTGAAAGGCAGAGTTACAGAGAGAGAAGGAGGAAGAGTGGGAGGAATGGGGAGAGAGAGAGAATATCTCCCATCTGCTGGTTTAATTGCTAAATGGCGCAATTGCTGAGGTTGAGCAAGGTGGAAGCCAAGAGCCAGAAGCTTCTTCTAGATCTCTCACATATGGCAGGGACCTAAACACTTGGACCATCTTCTGCTGCTTTCCCAGGTGCATTAGGAGGGAGCTGAATCAGAAGTGGAGCAGATGGGACTTGAACTGGTACCCTTTTGGGATGGTGGTATTGCAGGCTGCAGCTTAATCTGCTATGCCATAATACCAGCCCCTATTGTTTGTTCTTATAGGGCAGAGTGTGTGTGTGTGTGTGTGACCAAACTCACCCATGGAGGATGGAGAATAGGGATAATGCCCC